TCTTTGTCTTTAGTTAACTTTAGATACTCTGATGACAATGTACCTAGGCAATGATCTTTTTGTGATGAATTTCCCAGGTGTTTATTGAGCTTCTTGTATTTGGATGTCTAGGTCTCTAGCAAGGTGTGGGACGTTTTCCTTGATTATTTCCCCGGATAAGTTTTCCAAACTTTTAGATTTCTCTTCTTTCTCAGGAATGCTGATTATTCTTAGGTTTGATTGTTTAACATAATCCCAGATTTCTTGGAGGCTTTGATCATATTTTCTTATTCTTTTTTCTTTGTCTTTGTTGGACTGGATTAATTCAAAAACCTTGTCTTCAAGCTCTGAATTTCTTCTGTTTGCTTGATTCTATTGCTGAGACTTTCTAGAGCATTTTGCATTTCTATAAGTGCATCCATTCATCCATTGTTTCCTGAAGTTTTGATTGTTTTTTATTTATGCTATCTATTTCACTGAAGATTTCTCCCCTTATTTCTTGAAGCATATTTTTGATTTTTTTAAAATTGGACTTCACCTTCCTTTGATGCCTCCTTGATTAGCTTAATAACTGACCTTCTGAATTATTTTTCAGGTAAGTCAGGGATTTCTTCTTGGTTTGTATGCATTGTTGGTGAGCTAGTGTGATTTTTTGGGGGGTGTTAAAGAACCTTGTTTTCCATATTACCAGAGTTAGCTTTCCGGTTCCTTCTCATTTGGGTAGGCTCTGTGAGAGGGAAAGTCTAGGCCTCAAGGCTGTTGTTCAGATTCTTTTGTCCCATGAGGTGTTCCCTTGATGTAGCACAGTCCCCCTTTTTCTAGTGATGTGGCTTCCTGAGAGCCAAACTGTAGTGATTGTTATTTCTCTTCTGGATGTAGCCACCCATCAGGTCTACCCGACTCCGGGTTGATACTGGAGTGTGTCTGCACAGAGTCTTGTGACATGAACCATCTATGGGTCTCTCAGCCATAGATACAACCACCTGCTCCAATGGAGGTGGCAGAGGATGAAATGGACTCTGTGAGGATCCTTACTTTTGGTTGTTCAATGCACTATTTTTGTGCTGGTTGGCCTCCTGCCAGGAGGTGGCACTTTCTAGAGAGCATTAGTAGAGGTAGTCAGGTGGTGGTGGTTGGGGGGACGGGGGTGCCCTAGAACTCCCAAAAATATATGCCCTTTGTCTTCAGCTACCAGGGTGAATAAGGAAGGACCATCAGGTGGGGGCAGGACTAGTCGTGTCTGAGCTCAGAGTCTCCTTGGGCAGGTCCTTCTGTGGTTACTGTGGGGGATGTGGGTGTAGTTTCCAGGTCAATGGATTTATGCTCCTAGGACGATTATGGCTGCCTCTGCTGTGTCATACAGGTCGTCAGGAAAGTGGGAGAAAGCAAGCAGTCACGTGACTCAACCAGCTCCCAAGCAACTCAAAAAGTTGGTCTCACTTCCAGCGTGCACCCTCCCCCGCAATAGCAGGAGTCTGTTTCCATGCAGTCAGTGAGCAAGGCTGAGAACTTGCCCCAGGCTACCAGCTGTGAAAGCAAGTAGGGCTGTCCTACTTCCCTGCCTGTGGAGTCTGCACACGAAATTCATGTCCCCCCACCAACCCCTCACTGCCCAGCCCCGAGTTCTGGCCAGGTGGAGATTTCCTTTTTCCTGTCATCTTTTCCCAGTTCCTCTGGCAGCCCTCCCAAAGGATCCCTGTGAGGCAAGGCAGAAATGGCTTCCTAAGGGACCCAGAAAGCCCACAGGGCTTTTCCTGCTGCTTCCTCTACCCATGTATTTTGCTTGGCCCTCTAAATTGACTCAGCTCCAGGTAAGGTCAGAATCTTCTCCTGTGGTCTAGACCTTCAAGTTCCCCAGTGAGGATGTGTGTTTGGGAGTGGATGGTCCCCCATTCCCACTTCCACAGTTTGGGCACTCACAATATTTGGGGTGTTTCCCAGGTCTTGCAGGACCAATCTGCTTCTTTCGGAGGATCTGTGGGTTCTCTCAACTTTCCTGATTTGTTTCTGCATGTGTTTCTGCAACAAAAGTTCATGATGTGAGACTTTACATGCTGCTCTGTGCGTCCCAGTGGGAGCTGCAATCTAGTTCTGCTGCCTCCCATCTGTCATTATCCTCTAATTTGTCAGTAATATGCATTTTTAATCAATCTCTCTTTTTTCTCTCTCTTTCTTGTCCCCCAAAACTATACTGCCCTTTGATATCAAGGAGTCAAGGATGGTGATGTTGGGGGGTGGGCAGTGGATACACTCTTTACCCCTTAGGGAGCTATATCTAGATTTAAATATTGCCAATTCAATGTAAATTAATTGAAAGCAAATTCATAATGAATACACACACACACACACACATCTGCATGACAAGATTTTTAATAGTTGTAAGAATAACTAATTTTTGTCCGCAGGCAATAAGGGCTTTTTAAGCAAAACAGTTGTGATAAACAGGTCATGCTTAGAATAGTAATCCAGCCAATTGTACGGATTGCTTAGAGACTATGTCATTACCAGAGTTAAAATTCTATAATGCCTTCTCACTCCCTACCACTGAAGACAAGTTTTTGTCATTAGGTTTATGCTTCCCTGAAAAAAATACCACCTGCTATTCTCCACTTTACTATTCACATACCAACGGCACTGGTTCTTTATCTATCTCTCTGGCACAGCAGGAGTTTGTTTTCTTCTGCTTCAGAGCTTTAAATTTACTATTTCAGCTTCTAAACTTTATTTGGCAATGCCTTCCCATGGCAGATTCCTTCTTGTCATTTTGCCTCTGTTGGAATACTTTCTCCTTAATTTTCTTCTTAGTATATAATATCTGAAATTATTTTGCTGTATAACTTATTAATTTTATGTATGTTCTACCTAGATTACAATCTTCAGAGGAAAACTTTATTCTCTGACTTATTTAACTTAAATGCCTAGTACTTTAAAAATTATGACATTTATTAAACAGATATTTGTTGAACAAATGTTTGAAAATACATGGGAATGAATGCTTGAAAACACTTGAAATTGCTGGTATAAAGAAACAGTTTTATCAGTGAGGATTTAATCAATGTCAGAAGCAATGATACAGGAAAAATTGAGGAATAAGACAGTTATGGACAAGGACAAATCAATAAACTCTTAAAAGATATTGCCTCAAAAGCATAAGAGGAAATAAGGGTTTATATGTGACTTTTAGATCACTGCATCACTGCCTTGGTTTCTGGATAAAGGGGGAAGTTGTTTGAAAACAGGAGGGATCCTAGATATTCCTTAGTCTGAGGAGAAGCAATTAAGATTCACTTATTTAGAGGCTAGGAGCGGTGGCTCACGCCTGTAATCCCACCACTTTGGGAGGCCAAGGCAGACAGATCACCTGAGGTCAAGAGTTCAAGACCAACCTGGCCAACATGGTGAAACCCCGTCTCTACAAAAACACAAAAATTAGCCGGGCATGATGGTAAGTGCCTGTAATCCCAGCTACTCAGGAGGCTGAGGCAGGAGAAATGCTTGAACCTGGAAGGTGGGAGTTGCAGTGAGCTGACATCACACCACTGCACTCCAGCCTGGATGACAGAACAAGACTCCATCTCAAAACAACAACAACAACAACAGCAACAAAAACAGATTCAAAAGATTCACTTGTTTAAGCCTTAGTGAGCTTAGACACCAGTCTCTGAGACATTCTTCAAGGTCAGGCTCTACAAATGGAACCCAACCAGATTCCCAGATATGGTCAAAGATCTATACACACCTATCTACCCATCTCACAGATCTCCTGTCTTAAAGAGACCCTAATTTGGATTCACCTCAGTCTCTGTAATCTGTACCTGCATACCAATAAAAATCTTTCTCACCCACCCTTAGATTGAGAGAAGTCACTTATTATTATGTGAATAACTGGAAGATACTGATATGTTGACAAATCTTTTTCTTTCCTTTTTTATTCAACTTTTATTTTAACTTCCAAAGAACAAGTGCAATATGTGCAGCTTTGCTGCATGGGTTAACATGTATCTTTCTGGTCTTTTAGCCGTCTCACACTTTGAGTAGATATAAGCTTTACACAAGATTATGAAGGCTGAAAGGATTCCACCAATATTATTATAATTAGTATTAATCTGATAGGTTAGGGGAGGTAGACCTCCCGTCCAATAAAACAGATTTCCAGAGTTTCTGACATCATAATCTACCAAGGTCATGGATCACTTTCAGAGAAAAAACAAAAGCAAAACCAAACCCACCAAGAAACAAAAATCCAAAAGAAAAAATAAAGGAAAAAACACCATGAATACTTCCTGCCATGTTCAGTGGTCAATATGTCAGAAATAGCACTGAGTTACAGATAAAGATGTCTAAACTAAAGTGACATCCCAACTGTCACAGTGTGTGGCCTATTAGTCAATTAAAGCAGTCCCTGCCTCTTTAGAGTTGTTTTCCATGCAATTACATGTCTTATGTCTTAGAATAAGATTCCCTGAGAACTGAACCTAGCATTTATACAAGATAATTAATTCTAAGCCATAGTACCTGCCAAAGAACATTCTACCATCATCTTTACTGAACACAGAAGAGCTACACCAAAAACCTGGGTCATCAGCCAGCACACACACTTATCCAGTGATAAATACACATCATCGGGTGCCTACATACATACCTGAATATGAAAAAAAAAATACCTTTGCTGAGATGAAACACACATGATTTATTTCAAATAGGTACAGAGAAGTAGATACTGAAGTAAGGATTAAGTATTATATTATATTACATAACATTAATCTATTCCTGCACTGAAACCGTTGCTTTATATGATTTTTTTTTCACTACACTAATGAGAACTTAAGAGATAATGGCCTAAAACCACAGAGAGTATTTTCAAAGATAAGTATAGCACTTCTTCTTTGGAAACCAATGCTTACTAAATGAGACTAAGACTTGTCCCATCAAAAATCCTGGACCTATGCCTAAAACACATGTCACAATCCCCAAACTTTTCAAAAATTGGTACATGCTTGAACTTTAATCTCCAGGCCTCACTGGAGCTAGAGACAAGAAGGTAAAAAAGGCTGACAAAAGAAGTCCTGGTATCTTCTATGGTGGGAGAAGGAAACTAGCTAAAGGGAAGAATAAATTAGAGAAAAATTGGAATGATTGAATCGGAACAAGGCAAAGGCTATAAAAAAATTAAGCAGCAGTATCCTCTTGGGGGCCCCTTCCCCACACTATCTCAATGCAAATATCTGTCTGAAACGGTCCCTGGCTAAACTCCACCCATGGGTTGGCCAGTCTTGCCTTGACCAATAGCCTTGACAAGGCAACTTTGACCAATAGTCTTAGAGTATCAGGTGAGGCCAGGGGCCGGCGGCTGGCTAGGGATGAAGAATAAAAGGAAGCACCCTCCAGCAGTTCCACACACTCGCTTCTGGAACGGCTGAGATTATCAATAAGCTCCTAGTCCAGACGCCATGGGTCATTTCACAGAGGAGGACAAGGCTACTATCACAAGCCTGTGGGGCAAGGTGAATGTGGAAGATGCTGGAGGAGAAACCCTGGGAAGGTAGGCTCTGGTGACCAGGACAAGGAAGGGAAGGAAGGACCCTGTGCCTGGCAAAAGTCCAGGCCGCTTCTCAGGATTTGTGGCACTTTCTGACTGTCAAACTGCTCTTGTTCAATCTCACAGGCTCCTGGTTGTCTACCCATGGACCCAGAGGTTCTTTGACAGCTTTGGCAACCTGTCCTCTGCCTCTGCCATCATGGGCAACCCCAGCGTCAAGGCACACGGCAAGAAGGTGCTGACTTCCTTGGGAGATGCCATAAAGAACCTGGATGATCTCAAGGGCACCTTTGCCCAGCTGAGTGAGCTGCACTGTGACAAGCTGCATGTGGATCCTGAGAACTTCAAGGTGAGTCCAGGAGTTTCAGCAGTTTCAGAGTTCAGTCTCAAGGCAACTTAGACAACTGAGTATTGATCTGAGGACAGCCGAATCTACCTGCTGGGTGTGAGCTATTTGAAGATACTGGGGTTGGGAGTGAAGAAACTGCAGAGGACTAACTGGGCTGAGACCCAATGATAATGTTTTAGGGCCTAAGGAGTGCCTCTAAAAATCTAGACGGACAATTTTGACTTTGACAAAAGAGAGGTGGAAATGAGGAAAATGACTTTTCTTTATTAGATTCCGGTAGAAAGAACTTTCATCTTTCCCTCATTTTTGTTATTTGTTTTAAAACATCTATCTGGAGGCAGGACAAGTATGGTCATTAAAAAGATGCAGGCAGAAGGCATATATTGGCCCAGTCAAAGTGGGGAACTCTGGTGACCAAACAGAGTCTGAGGCTATTCCTATATCAGCTGGACACATACAAAATGCCGCTATCACCTCATTACAAACTTATATCCTCTAATTCCAGATGGGGGCAAAGTGTGTCCAGGGGTGAGGATCAATTGAAACATTTGGGCTAGAGTAGATTTTGAAAGCCAGGGGGGTGTGTGTGTGTCTGTGTGTGTGCACGCGTGTGTTTCTTTTAACGTTTTCAGCCTACAACATACGGGGTTTGTGGTGGCAAGAAGACAGCAAGTTTTAAATTTTGGCCTGTGACTAGTGCTGCAAGGGGAACAACTACCTGCATTTAATGGGAAGGCAAAATCTCAGGCTTTGAGGGAAGTTAACATAGGCTTGATTCTGGGTGGAAGCTGGGTGTGTAGTTTCTGGAGGCCAGGCTGGAGCTCCCAGCTCACTATGGGTTCATTTTTGTTGTCTCCTTTCATCTCAACAGCTCCTGGGAAATGTGCTGGTGACTGTTCTGGCAATCCATTTCGGCAAAGAATTCACCCCTGAAGTGCAGGCTTCCTGGCAGAAGATGGTGGCTGGAGTGGCCAGTGCCCTGTCCTCCAGATACCACTGAGCCCCCTGCCCACGATGCAGAGCTTTCAAAGATAGGCTTTATTCTGCAAGCAATAAAAATAATAAATCTATTCTGCTAAGTGATCACAAATGGTTGTCTTCAGTTCTTTTTTAATGTCTTTTTAAATATATGAGCCACAAAGGGTTTTATGTTGAGGGATGTGTGTATGTGTATTTGTACATGGCTGTGTGTGTTAGTGTCATGTGCATATTCCTCACTTTTTTGTTTACATGAGATGTGGGTTTTGATGAGCAATTAAAAGAACTAGACAATAAAGAAACTTGTACATGGAAGTTATGCAAGTGAGAATAAAAAGTGTAGGAGAAATCTGGTGGGACGAAAGACCTCTGTAGGACAGGACTCCTCAGAAACAGATGTTTTGGAAGAGATGGGGAAAGGTTCAGTGAAGACCTGGGGGCTGGATTGCAGCACAGCAGCGAGGAAGGGGCTCAACGAAGACAAACTGTTCCAAATTTAGGAAGTCAAGGTTTAGGCAGGGATAGCCATTCTATTTTATTAGGGGCAATACTATTTCTAATGGCATCTGACTTTTCTCAGTCCTTGTGAGGCTCTATGGGGAGGTTGAGGTGTTAGAGATCAGAACAGGAAACAGATTTTTCTTTCCACAGTAACTGCAATGAAGTGATCCTTACTTTACTAAGAAACTTTTCGTTTTAAGTGTTGATGCATGCCTAAAGAGGTGAAATTAATCCCATGCCCTTAAGTCACAGCATTTCAAGGAAAAGACCTCATTGTAAGCTTCTAGGGGAGATGGGGACTTAGGTGAAGGAAATGAGCCAGCAGAGGCTCACAAGTCAGCATCATAGTGTCATGCCTGAGCAGCAGACCAGCACTGTCAGATGAAAATGTAGTGTGAAGAATTTGTATAACATTAATTGAGAAGGCAGATTCACTGGAATTCTTATATAATTGAAAGTTAATGCATGTTTATAAGCGAGTGTTTAGTTTAATGTGATGGTGTTATGAACCTAATGCTTGTGTCTCCAGGAAATTCACATGCTAAATCCCCAACTCCCAGTTGGCCCCATTTGTCTGGGAAGCTTTGGAAAAGTAATTAGGTTTAGATGAGCTCATGAGAGCAGATCGCTCTCAAAGAATTATTTTCCTCATCAGAAGCAGAGAGGTTAGCCATTTCTCTTCCTTCTGGTGAGGACACAGTGAGGAGTCAGCCATCTGCAAACCAGGAAGAGAACCCTGACCAGGAACCAGCAGAAATGTGAGAAAAAAATCTGTTGTTGAAGCCATCCGGTCTTTGCTATTTTGTTATAGCACCTTGCACTAAGTAAGGCAGATGAAGAAGGAGAAAAAAATAATCTTGGGTGTTCAGTGGATTAGAAACCATGTTTATCTCAGGTTTACAAATCTCCCCTGGTCCCCTATGTTTCAGTATAAAATACCTACTCTACTACTCTCATCTGTAAGTCCCAAGTCGTAAGCCTGAGCCCTTCTCTCTAACTTTGATTTCTCCTATTTTTTCTTCAATGTACTTTAGGCTTGTAATGTATTTATATACAGTGAAATGTCAAGTTCTTTCTTTATATTTCTTTCTTTCGTTTTTCTCCTCAGCCTAACAGTTTTCTACATGCCCTTCCTATTTTCAGGAACTTCTTTCTCCAAACAACTTCTGCCTGGCTCCATCATACCATAAAGGACCCACTTCAAATGCTGTCACTCACTACCATTTTACAATTCGCACTTTCTTTCTTGTTTCTTTTTTTTTTTTTAGTAAAACAAGTTTATAAAAAATTAAAGTAAAGGAATAAATGAATGGCTACTTCATAGGCAGAGTAGCCCCAAGGGCTGCTCGTTGCCGATTTTTGTTGTTATTTTTCAATAGTATGCTAAACAAGGGGTAGATTATTTATGCCGCCCGTTTTTAGACCATAAAAGATAACTTCCTGATGTTGCCATGGCATTTTTTCCTTTTAATTTTATTTCATTTCATTTTAATTTCCAAGGTACATGTGCAGGATGTGCAGGCTTGTTACATGGGCAAACGTGTACCTTTCTGGCCTTTTAGCCATCTTTATCAACGAACAGGTATAATCTTTACACAGGATCGTGAAGGCTGAAAGGATTTCACCAATTTCAATCAACCTGATAGCTTAGGGGATAAACTAATTTGAAGATGCAGCTCACCTCCAATAAGCCAGAATTCCAGAGCTTCTGGTATAATCTAGCAAGGTTTGAGATCATGGATCACTTTCAGAGAAAAACAAAAACAAACTAACCAAAAGCAAAACAGAACCAAAAAACCAGCAGAAATACTTCTTACCCTGTTAACGGTCCAATATGTCAGAAACAGCACTGCGTTAGAAATACAGCTGTCTAAAGTACACTGATATTCGAGTTGTCATAGTGTGTGGACTATTAGCCAATAAAAACAGCCCTTGCTTCTCTAGAGTTGTTTTCCGTGCACACACATGTCTTATGTCTTAGAATAAGATTCCCTGAGAAGTGAACCTAGCATCTATACAAGATAATTAATTCTAATGCAGAGTACCTGCCAAAGAACATTCCACCATCATCTTTACTGAGCATAAAAAAGCTACACCAAAACCCTGGTCATCAGCCAGCACACACACTTACCCAGTGATAAATACACATCATATGGTATATATATACATCCTGAATATGGAATCAAATATTTTTTCTAAGATGAAACAGGCATGATTTATTTCAAATAGGTACAGATAAGTACATATTGAGGTAAGGATTAGGTCTTATATTACATAACACTAATCTATCACTGCACTGAAACTGGCTTTATAGGAATTATTTTCACTGCACTATTGAGAACTTAAGAGATAATGGCCTAAAACCACAGAGAGTATTTTCAAAGATAAGTATAGCACAATGCTTACTAAATGAGACTAAGACTTGTCCCATCAAAAATCCTGGACCTATGCCTAAAACACATGTCACAATCCCCGAACTTTTCAAAAATTGGTACATGCTTGAACTTTAATCTCCAGGCCTCACTGGAGCTAGAGACAAGAAGGTAAAAAAGGCTGACAAAAGAAGTCCTGGTATCTTCTATGGTGGGAGAAGGAAACTAGCTAAAGGGAAGAATAAATTAGAGAAAAACTGGAATGATTGAATCGGAACAAGGCAAAGGCTATAAAAAAATTGAGCAGCAGTATCCTCTTGGGGGCCCCTTCCCCACACTATCTCAATGCAAATATCTGTCTGAAACGGTCCCTGGCTAAACTCCACCCATGGGTTGGCCAGTCTTGCCTTGACCAATAGCCTTGACAAGGCAACTTTGACCAATAGTCTTAGAGTATCAGGTGAGGCCAGGGGCCGGCGGCTGGCTAGGGATGAAGAATAAAAGGAAGCACCCTCCAGCAGTTCCACACACTCGCTTCTGGAACGGCTGAGATTATCAATAAGCTCCTAGTCCAGACGCCATGGGTCATTTCACAGAGGAGGACAAGGCTACTATCACAAGCCTGTGGGGCAAGGTGAATGTGGAAGATGCTGGAGGAGAAACCCTGGGAAGGTAGGCTCTGGTGACCAGGACAAGGAAGGGAAGGAAGGACCCTGTGCCTGGCAAAAGTCCAGGCCGCTTCTCAGGATTTGTGGCACTTTCTGACTGTCAAACTGCTCTTGTTCAATCTCACAGGCTCCTGGTTGTCTACCCATGGACCCAGAGGTTCTTTGACAGCTTTGGCAACCTGTCCTCTGCCTCTGCCATCATGGGCAACCCCAGCGTCAAGGCACACGGCAAGAAGGTGCTGACTTCCTTGGGAGATGCCATAAAGAACCTGGATGATCTCAAGGGCACCTTTGCCCAGCTGAGTGAGCTGCACTGTGACAAGCTGCATGTGGATCCTGAGAACTTCAGGGTGAGTCCAGGAGTTTCAGCAGTTTCAGAGTTCAGTCTCAAGGCAACTTAGACAACTGGGTATTGATCTGAGGACAGCCGAATCTACCTGCTGGGTGTGAGCTATTTGAAGATACTGGGGTTGGGAGTGAAGAAACTGCAGAGGACTAACTGGGCTGAGACCCAATGATAATGTTTTAGGGCCTAAGGAGTGCCTCTAAAAATCTAGACGGACAATTTTGACTTTGACAAAAGAGAGGTGGAAATGAGGAAAATGACTTTTCTTTATTAGATTCCGGTAGAAAGAACTTTCATCTTTCCCTCATTTTTGTTATTTGTTTTAAAACATCTATCTGGAGGCAGGACAAGTATGGTCATTAAAAAGATGCAGGCAGAAGGCATATATTGGCCCAGTCAAAGTGGGGAACTCTGGTGACCAAACAGAGTCTGAGGCTATTCCTATATCAGCTGGACACATACAAAATGCCGCTATCACTTCATTACAAACTTATATCCTCTAATTCCAGATGGGGGCAAAGTGTGTCCAGGGGTGAGGATCAATTGAAACATTTGGGCTAGAGTAGATTTTGAAAGCCAGGGGGGTGTTTGTGTGTCTGTGTGTGTGCACGCGTGTGTTTCTTTTAACGTTTTCAGCCTACAACATACGGGGTTTGTGGTGGCAAGAAGACAGCAAGTTTTAAATTTTGGCCAGGGACTAGTGCTGCAAGGGGAACAACTACCTGCATTTAATGGAAGGCAAAATCTCAGGCTTTGAGGGAAGTTAACATAGGCTTGATTCTGGGTGGAAGCTGGGTGTGTAGTTTCTGGAGGCCAGGCTGGAGCTCCCAGCTCACTATGGGTTCATTTTTGTTGTCTCCTTTCATCTCAACAGCTCCTGGGAAATGTGCTGGTGACTGTTTTGGCAATCTATTTTGGCAAAGAATTCACCCCTGAAGTGCAGGCTTCCTGGCAGAAGATGGTGGCTGGAGTGGCCAGTGCCCTGTCCTCCAGATACCACTGAGCCCCCTGCCCACGATGCAGAGCTTTCAAGGATAGGCTTTATTCTGCAAGCAATAAAAATAATAAATCTATTCTGCTAAGAGATCACACATGATTTTCTTCAGCTCTTTTTTTATGTCTTTTTAAATATATGAGCCACAAAGGGTTTATATTGAGGGATGTGTGTATGTGTATTTCTGCATGGCTATGTGTGTTTGTGGTGTGCGCATGCTCCCCATTTATT